CATGGAGGCGTAGTGAGGCGAGGTCTCGGAGATGTACCAGCTGTCGCGGGCCCGGATCACGGTGATCTGATGACCCCTGGAGTGAAGCTCACGGATCAGGACGTTCATGTTCACCCAGTGACTGCCTTCGTGAGGAAACACCAGGATTTTCCCACAATGCACTGGGAGGGCGAGGGTTAGAACGATGCTTGAGATTAGGATCAAATCCATCGTTATAGGAGGAGCATAAACGTCTGGCTGAAAGACAGAAACCGATGTTGATGTTCATTATAAATAGATGTTCATTTTTGTAAATAATCACAAAATAAAAGCAAAGAAAGTTGTAAAAGGAGTTAATAGTTAACATGCATAGATGGTTTTTAGGTAAAAAATGACATAACAACACCAGAGGGTAAAAGCTATTCAATCCCACCGACTGAAATTCGCATCTGAAATTTCACACGTTAAAAAATAAATACGTCATGTCAATCACGCCTACGAAACTTTCATCCGTCTTAAAAATATTGGGTTCGATTTTTATGCGTTTTTCGCATCCGTAACCAGCATTTGAATGTTGTTTTAACAATTCAGCGCCACCAAATCACGGATACGAAAAAAAAAAACGCTTGCGAAATTAATAGTGTAAAGGTCCTTGAACACTGAGACTGAAAATTTCGCAAGCGTTTTTTTTTTTTTGTATCTGTCATTCGATGGCGGTGAATTGTCAAAACACCATTGAAATGCTTGTTACGGATGCGAAAAACGCAGAAAATCGAACCTGATTTTTTTTTTTTTGATGGATGAAAGTTTTGTAGGCAGAGTGTAAACGTGATTGACATAACATATTTATTTTTTAACGTGCGAAAATTTCGGATGCAAATTTCAGACTCTATAGTATGTGGGATTGAATAGCTTTTACCCTCTGGTGTTATTCTGTAATTTTTTACTTAAAAACAATCTATGTATAATTTCTTTTTACTCTTTTAATTCCTTTTACAACTTTCTTTGCTTTTATTTTGTGATTATTTTAGTTCCTTTCTATGTAAAGCACTTTCAAATGTGCTATACAAATATCTTGGCTAAAAATATTAAGTTTATATATATATATATATATATATATATATATATATAAAATTTAATTAATCGGAATGGTACAACATCTTGTATAGGTTTTGGCAGATGCTGTTTGAACACAAAAAATTTAATGATTTGAAAAAGTTAAAAGGCCATGAATTGTTCATGGTTAAACATGAGTGCATTGGAAATGCATGGGAGACAAATTCCTCCTAGTGGAAGCGTTTGGTACTGCGCACACTCATTTTTGAGATATCAACCTCAAATTTGGAACAGACCTTGTTTAGATTTATGGCTTTTATTTATTTAAAGTTTTAGGGTAAAATGTGTTTAGGAATATATATATTTTATATATTAATTGAAAAGGTTATTTTTGTCCATTCTTCAAAGTAACATTTTATAACTTTTTTCAATTTCACTTTTTAAACGCTTTCAGTCAAGTAATAATTTGCCAATTGTCGTCTTTGAAAAGAGACCAAACTTCAGTCTGTGATCCAAAGAACTCAAGGTTTATGATTTTCTTATGAAATTTCTTTTTTTTCCGAGGTTCATGCACAAAAAAGTGAATAAATAGATTAGAACTACTGCAGAAATATACCATAAGATCACCTAAAATACAAAACATCAAATAAAAAAACATTATCAAACTAAAATATAGTATAATCATTTCATTGAAATAAAAAAGGGGGTCATTTTTGATCAACACACAAACAGTACCAGAAAATGAAAATGTACCATTTTACAGAAATTACCCAAAAATACAGTAAAATGTTTCCAGGACACTTTCAATAGTGACACAATGTGCCTAGACAGGATACCACAAAAAATGCATTTGTTTTGGCATGAAAAAGAACACTGTGTTTTGACAAGCTGTTCTTGGACAACCTTGATGTGTGTGTGTGTGTGTGTGTGTGTGTGTGTGTGTGTGTGTGTGTGTGTGTGTGTGTGTGTGTGTGTGTGTGTGTGTGTGTGTGTGTGTGTGTGTGTGTGTGTCGCAGGAAACAACATTTCATGTGATTTTAGAGGGTTTTGGGTTGCAAAGTCTCTCTTGGCACATTATATTATTTTTGTATAAAAGTTTCCCCCTATTCATCAAACATCTACATAAATATGCATACAGGTTAATGACATCCTGCAGAGGAAATACATTTATACAGGTTTGGAACGACTCAAGAATTTGTAAGTTTTGACATTATTGTTATTTTTTGCGTGAACTGTCCCTTTAAATATCACTGGCTTTGGTCTAAAGTAAACAACCACATATCACAATACTGTCCTTGTGTAATCAGAGATTCAGGACAAAACAACTAACTGAAATCGCTTCCTGTTGAGGCACGTTTTGAGCATATTAAGTAAGAATCTCAAAAAAGCCTGTTTGAATCTGTTACAGTAACATACACAATCTCCAGTCCAGTATGTATAAATATAATGTTAACCACATAACGTCAAAAGCCAAGACAAAATCAAGCATCAAGTCAATCATCCACACCACAGATGATGATACTTAAACCAAACCTTCCCATGATGCATTGTAAATCATAAACCAAGATGTTCCTAACAATGAACCTTAGTCAGATTAGACGGTTTATTTAATGTAATTAATTTAATTTAGTAATTAATTATATTTAGCCTATACTATAATAAATCTTTTTTAACTTGGTATCAGACACAACTGCCACTGCTGCCAATAAACTAAAATTAAAATCAATAAAAAAAAGACAGATTTTATGTTAAGCCTCGATGTAAACAAGCACGACAGACATCATGATGGGCAGGTTTTTTTTAGGGAAAACATCTATTTCCGGAAGTAAAATATCAACTCTCACACTTACTGTCCCCGAAAATACTTTCTAAAACACTGAGCACTTCATAGTGTGTTCAACTGTGCAGAGCCACACACACACACATGCAATTAAACATGTCAGTCCACACAAACAAACACTGAATCCTGTTTGGCGCGACTGACAAGAAGCTCATTTCAGATTCAGACGACAAGATAAATGTTTCAAGCATCCGATTTTTACTATACAAAACTGTGCGTGTCCGACCGTGAATGTGTGTAAAAGCTGATATGGTTTTTAACAAATGAAATAAATGAACTTACCAGCAGAAGAGGCAGTGATACAGTGCAGCCGCGAGCTCGAGACACGCTCCTCTGTTTGGGTGGTGGGCGGGGCTCATTAATATTAACGTCATTACGAATATTATGTTGTAGGCGATCCATGATGATTGGACGCTTTCTCGGAGCATCATTACCCGCATCATTACTATTCATAAGGAATATATCAATTTTAATCACACAATAAGCACAATAATATCACACAAAACGCTAAATAGAAATAAATAATGAAAAAATCCGAAAAACAGGCTCATAAATAATTTACAAACGCATACATACAAAGCATATCATTTTACAAGAGTCAAGCCTTCATCAAGTAGTATTAGTATGCGTGTATTTGTAAACAATTAATTGAAATTATGTTTTGAAATAGTGACTGCCTAAAGATAAACAAATATCAATAGAATTTTGAGAGGAATTAGTTGGTCATGAAATTATAGATTCAATTAATCTATGAATTAATATCAATATCAAGGTATCAGCAGATTTATTAGGTTTGCACCAATTATCACTATTGTCAGAGTTGTGTGTGCGTGTGTGTGAATTCTCTTCTGCAAACTAAAATAGGCTATAATAGTGTATTTTTGTAATATCTGTTTGGTATCAAGTGAACACAATAAAACCACATTGACATTAATATATACAAGGGTAGATTTGAACTGAAAGATTGAATTGTACTATTTGTGTTTCATAATATCAGACCAGATAAGTTTTATTGAGGCAAGTTTTATAAAACACACAGTGTTTTATATGTTGTAATTTTATATAGCCTAGTTTATAAAAAAAAAATCAGTTGCCCAAAACAATGTTTTCAAGTTGGTGTCTATATGGACCACAAAGGATAAACTCATCCTGACAACTAGCCCAGTCTCAGCTATTTGCTTTAACATTTGTGGAAGATATTACTTTTTCTTTGTTTCAGTTTTGCCATGAACACACATCTATCTGACCAATGGACCTGTTAGAAAGACAGGATCATAAAGCATTGCTGGAACAAATAGAGGAACTGTAGTTTCTAGATGAGCAGCAAACTCAGTCCAGAAGAGGGCGCTGTGTAATGGAGTGAATCATGTGTCTCTCTTTTTTCTTTTTTTTTTTAAATTGAATTTCAAGAATTACAATTACAGTCAGGGGTACATTGAAATAAACTAAATAAAAAAACATGAAAAGACAAACAAAGCAGTGACAAACTTAAGTTAAACAAAAATGTGAAAATGTTTACATATAGATGCACATTTTGCAGCTTTCTTATTTTTCAAACCCAGTATTGTTTTTAGGTATTGTTGAATTTCTGCTCTTAAAATTAAAAACAAAGGCTTGTTTCCTCCAAATTTACATTTATGGATACTAAATTTAGCTAACAGAAAAAGAAGATTATCAGGGGTTTCTTCTACTCTTTGTGACCAATGAATTAACATGACTGCTCCAGTTGCACCTGATTCATAGATGAGGATTCATTTCAAATAGAAATAAAATAAATTAAATAGCAATTAAATAATTTATAGAAAAATTATATATATATATATATATATATATATATAAATTTGGTTCAACTAGAGAAATATCTTTCCATTATTCATATAAAAAAAAAAAACCTCACTTCTCTGAAAGCATTGTGTACATGTGCAAATTTTGCATGTAAAATGTTCTAACAAGGTGACATTTTTATTAACATGGATTGTCACTCTATCAAAAGACTAGGCAAACTGTAAACATACAAAATAGACAGCGCTAGAAAGTCTCGGTAACAAAAAAGAAATAAATATAAATAAAATTTAACTAGCATGTTTATGCTTTTGGGTAAACAAATGAACACACACAAACACACTGACACACATTATGATAGTTTAATGGTAAGTTTCACTGTGACAACATGTACACAACACGTTATTATGTAGTTGATCACAGTTGTTCAATTTGAATGTGACAGATGAGAAATACAACAAACTCTTATTTGGCCTGATTTACATAAATTTGTTCAAAATTTGAGGTCTTCAAGAGTTCTTGCCAGTTGTAAACGGCATCTGTGTGGAAAAGATAAATGATGCTGTTATCTCATGATTTTATCAGAGAACAGCTGCTGTTAAATGATGAATTACAACTCATGTGTTGCATCATGGGCCTTGCATCTCACAGAAAGTGATAATCACGTGACACACACGATGGTACATGGATCGAGAAGGCCACAGTGGAGAAACATAACGCTAAAGAAATGCTGAAAAAAGGACTAGAGTCGCTGTTTTTGTCAAAGTTTTAATTTATTATTTGTGATTTAATATGTGATTTTAACTTAAAATAAAGTAAATTGTTTTGCCACTTGCTTGAGCAAATTATATGCATCTATAGTCATGCATTCATAATAATACTTAAGCATTTACAATATTGTATAATTGTGTAACAAAGTGCAATTCTGACAAAATGTTGTATTTTTAATACAAATAATGATGTGGTTTGTGGTATAGCCAAGCCTACAACGGATCAGTTGTGGATTTGTTTTTCTGAACCACACCCTGTTACACAAACATACAAAGCTTTTTGACTCATGTTAGTAAATTTAGGATTTAGGGTTTAAAATGTATTTTATTTTCACTCAACAAGTAAATATGTCTAAGTCACGGCCATTCAGAAATTATAGCTTAAACAAGATGATCAGAATTATCAATGTTGACGCTTCGATTTAATTAACCTATATTAATTATTAAATCTGATTCTGAATTAGGCCTAATGTATTGCTGTTACAGCTCAATCACTGTTATTCACCATTTAAATATAAAATAAAATAGAAATGAGAAAAAAATCTTTAGACATACTGTGCCAATTTTGAGTCAAATACAGACAAACCCAAACGTTGGGTCAAAAATATAATTAAAAATCGTAACCCAATGGCTGGGTTTGTCCATATTTGACCCAAAATTAAGGTGAAACAACCCAGCATATTTTAGTGTATATGAAGAGTTCAGATGCAAAAGCCTCTAAATGCCATTTGAAATTTTCTTCTTTAATGATGATTTTTAAATAACAATTAATAGGTAATTATCATTGCCATTTAAGTGAAATCACTGAACTTAAATATACAAGCTTGATAAAAATCATCATTCTAGAAGAAAATTTCAAATGGCATTTAGAGGCTTTTGCATCTGAACTCTTCATATGCGTATATGATTAAAACAATATAGTTAAATTTTAATATGCATGGTTTTGCTGATGTTTGAGGATATTTTAGGGAAAAGGCTCTGGTATCGATGCAAAGTGATAGAACACAATTAATAAAGCAAAGCCCGCCAAAATGGCAAGTGGTTGATGTGTTATTGCAGATTTTGAATTTGGCGGGTCATGGCGGATGTTCATTTCAAACCCTGTTTATTATATACCAAATAGTGCAGAGTTTTGAACTTGTATCATTCGAGTTACAAATACGTTTCTCAGCTTTTTATTACATTTTATTAAAGGGTAATTTTTGTAAATGTTTATTCAGCTAAAGTTTTGGAAACGATGTTTGGGCTCGTCGGCATCGTTTTCATTATTTGTTTAATAAGCAATTAATAAACATTAACACAGTATATTGTTAGAGCTAAAAAGTAGGCAAAAATACTTTTTTTTCAAAGATGGAAGTAACAAGATGGACCAAACACCTCTCAACTCATTTTTAAATTACTATTATTGTTATTAAGTTTTGACATTTTAAATAATTTCTGCAATATTGCTATTTTAAAAGAGTTTGAAGGTTGTATACCTTGTGTTTTAGCAGCCATTCTTCAACATCTTCACTCCAACTTCTTTACAGTCTTCGACTTCTTCAAGTCTCCTCTTCAACTTCTTCACTTCAACAACTTCTTCTTCTTCATCATCATCTTCTTCTTCTTCTTCTTCAACTTCTTCATTGTCTGACTCCTCAGTTTTGGATGGAAATTTTTCCTCCAGTTCAATGATTCTTGCTTCAAGATCTTCTATTTGTTGTTCAAGCTCATTAGTTCTAGTTTCCAGATCGTGTGTGGTTTGTTCAAAGTCTGCTGTCCTATTTTCAAGCTCTTCTGTTTTTTCTTCCAGATCGACAATTCTTTCTTTAATTTTAGCCATATTTCTACTATTCAGCTCTGTTTCGGACCGCTGCTGGTGTTTGAGGATAGTTTGAAAGTGAAACCGGTTCACCCATTCACACTTATAAACCCCGGTGACGGCACAACCCGAACAGGAAGACCACATGCAGGAATATTGTTCAGTCCCGCCCATATTTGATTTGCTGAGCGATTGAGCACCTCTATACAAGCTTAAAACATGACCTTTTTTGGTAGTTTTGGTAGTAGGAAGTAAAATAACTCAACGCCGGCAATCATCATACTGTAACACATTGAATCTAATGTTTTATATGAGGAGAGCAGGGCACAACCGAATGACTCTCAGTGTAAATCTACTTTAGAGTATTCATTTTTTCCCAAATTAATTTCACATGTCAGGTACAACTTTGTTGTTTTGTTTCAAGACAGGTAGGCCTATAATTCTTTCATTATTTACGCCAAAAGTATTGAAGTGAAATGTAACAACATGTTTTCAAGCTTAAAATGTTATCTGATCTAACTAAAACATGATTTGAAACAAACTAAAAGATTTTGTCAATTAAAGACTTTCCCCCATAAAAATGGCCTTTTTATGAGAATCACAAGAGCTCACATGCATCCAACTCTAGGGATAAATTAATCATTTATATACAGTGGGGCCAAAAAGTATTTAGTCAGCCATATGATATTCTCCCAATCCTCTTCTGGATCATCCATATGCTCTCTGGCAAACTTCAGACGGGCCTGGATACGCCCGGCACTGCAGGATTAGAGTCCCTCTCGGTGTAGTGTGTTACTGGTGGCAGCCTTTGTTACTTTGGTCCCAGCTCTCTGCAGGTCATTCGTCAGGTCCCTCCGTGTAGTTCTGGGATATTTGCTCACCGTTCTCATGATCATTTTGACCCCACGGGATGAGATCTTGCGTTGAGCCCCAGATCGAGGGAGATTATCAGTGGTCTTGTATGTCTTCCATTTTCTTACAATTGCTCCCAGTTGATTTTTTCACACCAAGCTGCGTGTCTCTTCCAAGCCTGGTGCAGGTCTACAATTTTCTTCCTGGTGTCCTTCGACAGCTCTTTGGTCTTGGCCATGGTTGAGTTTGGAGTATGACTGTTTGAGGCTGTGGACAGGTGTCTTTTATACAGGTAACAGGTTCAAACAGGTGTCAATAATACAGGTAGGGTTAGGAGTTACAGGTCTACAGGAGTTCTGTGAGAGCAAGAAATCTTGCTGGTTTGTGGGTGACCAAATACTTATTTTCTATCATAATTTACAAATAAGTTCTTTAAAAATCCTACAATCTGATTTCCTGGATTTTTTTTTCTCATTTTGTCTCTTATAGTTGAAGTGTACCTATGATGAAAATTACAAACCTCTCTCATTATTCTAAGTAGGAGAACTTGCACAATCAGTGGCTGACTAAATACTTTTTGGCCCCACTGTAAATCAACCAAGGTTTAAGAGAAAAGGAGTGTTCTCTTTTCAACAATCAGTTAAAGATCTAAATTATAAGAAAATATATAATATATTACTACTGTATAATATAACTAAAAATAACTGAACGGCATAACCAAATAACCCAACAAATTTTAAGATAACCCAACATAATGACCCAATATACACTACCAGTCAAAAGTTTTTGATTATTTAATGTTTTTATAAGAAGTCTCTTCTGCTCACCAAGGCTGCATTTATTTATTTAAAAAAAAAAAACAAAAAAAACAAGAGTAATATTGTGACATATTATGACAATTTAAAATGATTGTTTTCTATTTTAATATATATTAAAATGTCATTTATTCCTCTGAAAAAAGCTGGATTTTCAGCATCATTACTCCAGTCTTCAGTGTCACATGACCCTTCAGAAATCACTCTATGCTGATTTTATGCTAAAAAAACATTCATTATTACTTTCAATGTTGAAAACAGTTTTGCACTTTTTTTTTCCAAAAATTCTTTGATGAATAGAAAGTTCAAATAATCCTGAAATAAAAATGTAAAAAAACAGTTTTCCTCATTGATAATAACCATACATGTTTCTTGAGCAGCAAATCATCATATTAGAGCGATTTCTGAAGGGTCATGTGACACTGAAGACTGGAGTAATGATGATGAAAATTCAGCTTTGATCACAGGAATAAAATACACTTTACTATATATATTCACAGAAAACAGACATTTTAAATTGTAATAATATTTTGCAATTTTAATGGGGTTTTTTTTGTTGTATTTTTTAATCATATAAATGCAGCCTTGGGGAGCAGAAGAGACTTCTTGTAAAAACATTACAAATCTTACTGATCTAAAACTTTTGACCGGTAGTGTATACCAACGGTTGGGTTAAAATATAATAAATAAATAACCCAACGTTTTTTATGTAATAATTTTTCGTGTAATAATCCGAAAATTAAGGATCTTAGAAATTCTCTAGTGTCCCTAAGGTTCACATAAGGTGACAAACACGCATAGGTCTGTGCACTATAGCCAGACCACATCCTGGAAAGATGAAGTGTGGTGGGTACTGGAGCATTGTCGAGTGGCAAACATAGTCTGATCTGATGACAAATTTGATGAAATGTACATTTAAAAATGTGGTCACTTCTACTGCAATTGACGCAAACAGGAAAGCTGTTGACGCAAGTAATGTAACTGGAACCGGCGGCTCGCGACACCAGTTATGAACACCAGTTACACTTGTCTGCATTATGAAGCAGACAGACACGGGACAACAGGCGGCGGTTTCACTGGATTTACTGATAACTGAGTAAATCGCCCTTACAGTATATTGCTCTATAAAACAAATGTGATGTAATCACCATGTGCTTTCATCTCCACATATAGGCTAAAGTCAAAAAATAATTATAAAAATGACCACAAAATAGCACAGTAAAAGTGCACAATACACATAAATAGCAGTGAAGATAGAAACAAAAGCAACAATTAAAATAAAAATTAATTAAGATTAACAGGAGCCAAAAATAACTCACCTCTTCAGTGCATTAACAATGCCAAGAGGAAGAGGAGACCACAAAACAGGAGATTGTGTGCTCATGATGACATCACAGCAACTAAAGGGGAAAACCACTCATTCTTCAGGCAAGTATACCAAGTCTATATGAAAATAAACCATTTTGTGTGAATTATAATAAACAAGCACATAGGAAATAGCAATGTTAATGCAAGTAGAAGCAACCAGCAAGCGAAAGCCAGCTACGAAACCTCAACATCAGAAGATACTATTCGTAGCCTATGACCGTCCACATTTTCAGCAACGGTTGTTGTCTTTAATCCATTTCATTATTTCCTTGTTACTGAAGTTCTGGAAGCTCAGGAAATGCTCTGCACTGTCACAGTGTGGGCACAACACTCTCTGTTCAGGTCGAGGCCACGGGTGTGCCGGCGTCACCCACAGTGGAAACTGGCACACCTAAAAACAGTTTACACAAAGAACCATAATGAACATACAGCATTTTTATATTTAGGCTTTAACATATGATATGATATGATATTGTTGAGTTATGTTTCAGCTAGTGTTGCATTCAAAAGAAAAGAGTGAAGGATAGAGATGAGTCATCTTTAGCCGTTCTTGGCATATTTATTTTCACTGGTAGACACATCAGTCTCACGGTCGAACAGCAGTTATATTTTTCTTCACTACACCTTGGACAAACATAATGATGCAAACGCGTCCTCCATAGCCTACACATTAGTGCCCTCTTGTGGCTTAAACATGCACAACACAGAACAATACAGCATTACATTACACAACCTGAGGCCATAATGATCATACTTTAAAGGGTTAGTTCACCCAAAAATGAAAATTAAGTCATTAATTACTCACCCCCATGCTGTTCCAACCCCGTAAGACCTTCGTTCATCTTCGGAACACAAATGAAGATATTTTTGATTAAATTTGAGAGCTGTATAACTAGACTGCCGGGACTGGCTCTTGACGGCCCAGAAAGTCAATGAAGAAAATGTTTAAATATTCCATGTGACTACCGCGGCTCAACTATAATCAATCAACTTTATTCCAGACACAAAGGTCCATAGAGACAACACAGTACAGATATTTAAATAAATATTTAAATAAATAAATAACAATACAAACAGTTAAAAACAATAAAATTGAAGAGGCATCATTTATAAAACACGTACAGGCTTCGAGTCCAATGTTTATCAAGCGACTATATGTTTATCAAGCGACGAGAATACTTTTTGTGCGAAAAAGCCAACAAAAATAACGACTTTATTCGACTATTCCTTTTCTTCCTTGTTGGCCTGAAATTAGACTTCCTTAGATTTCCACGACGCATGCGCGAGAATTGCGATCTCCTTACGCTACTTCGGTTCAGTTCTCGCGCATGCGTCGTGGAAATCGTATTGAAGTCTCGTGTGCTGATGCCATTTTTAAAAAGATTTGTATATTCAACGTTTGTATATTCTTAATTATTTTAATGTTGACAACAATGTCCACTCTTTTATTGAGGGTAGTGTATACTGGTGTGGACATTCAAAAATCACCCATAGAAACAAATGGGGAAGATTGTAAAAACCTGTGGAAAAACATTGGAAAACAACAGATAGTCCTGTACCAACTATATCCCATGCAATAACCCAATCAAATAAGGTGTATGACTGGAGAATATATGAAGAGTTCAGAGTGAAATTACATATACAAGTTTGATAAAAATCATCATTAAAGAAGAAAATTTCAAATGGCATTTAGAGGCTTTTGCATCTGAACTCTTCATATGTGAAATAGTTTTTATTTATTTATGACATTGTGGATGTGGATAATATTTGTGTTGTGGATTATGTGTCAATATTCCTGTAGTGTACAACTAATTGCCTCTCGAGTTTTCTTAGTAAGTCTAAGTCTTCTTTCTCATCTTAGATCCCTTATATTTTCACATCACTTTCTTTCTGGTTATTTCATGTGGATTACATCCATCCTGTAACTTAAAAAAATAAGTAAACCCATTGCCTTAACATTATTAAGTAAATAAACTTAAGAAATGTGGAATTATCATGTCACAGTCCTCCGTCTGCACCAGTCTGTCTTGTCTTCAGCACTACACTTCCCATGATCCTCTCGTCTGCACACCTGAACTCACTCCCTCATCAGCCTCCCGTTCAGCGTCCTGTTTCACCTGTTTGCACCTCATTATGTTTGATTCTTCTGTGTATTTAGTTCCTCCTCATTCAGTCAGTCATTGTCGGTCGATGTTAATGTTTGCTGTGTTTTGTGGATTCCCTACCCGCCTTCCTGTATATACCAGTTCCATGGAGTTTCCTTATTAAATGTTTGAATTGGAGCACTCTCTCTCGGATTCCTTCTTCCACCCGCAGTACACCGTGACATATCAAGTTCATATAACTTAGTTTTTCACTTAAATATTTAACACTTTTGACTGTATTAGGCCTATCTATACTCTAAAAATGCTGGGTTGTTTTAACCCAACTTTGGGTCAAATATGGACAAACCCAAACGTTGGGTCAAAAACGTAATTAAAAAATGTAACCCAATGGCTGGGTTTGTCCATATTTGACCCAAAGTTGGGTTAAAACAACCCAACATTTTTAGAGTGATATTGTGCCA